CCCACACACACACAATTACCCCTCCGTTTGATCAGGGAGATTGTCACGCTTCCCATTACCCATATAGTAAATACATTCCAATGAAAACATCAATTTGATTACAATGAACGCAAATCACCATGACAATCTCAAACGAGAGCATGAAATGTGGATTATTATGGAGTGCTAGTCTGTAGTTGTACAGAACATGGACAACGATGAACAATAGTACTAGCACTACAGAAGCAATGCTAGCATTATACTTCACAAGGGTAGAAGGGAGTATAGAGAACCTTGTGCTGTTACATTTCTTTATGTCTTTACACAACATAAAAGAAACTTTTTTTATTTCCATATTTAATATTCTATCACTTACATGTTTCAATATTACATTATTACAAGATTTTGACATTTATTTTAGAGACTTTCCAACCATTTCTTATGCAGAGTTGAAATACAGGCATAGATTCAGCTGCCTACTTCTCTAAATCTACTGATCATATGAACGTGCAGTTTTCACAGAAGGCAGTCTCTGTTTTTGTATTTTTTTTCATGCTAAAAAAACAGGGTTGTGATGAAGAACAAAAGTTATATTGAAGCCTTCCAGTTGTTAGATGTGGCAGCTGCATTTCTTTTTTCTTTTTAGGCTTTAGTCCTCATTCACACCGATACTTTAGCTGTGATTAGGGATTCCTGCAGCAGGAACTTGCGATTTCCTGCAGCAGGAATCCTTGGACGCATCAATCGTGCATCAATGACCTATAGGGATTGCTTCCTGATGACATGTAATTGTATCACATACAATTACATGCATTGTGCCAGTGTTCTGCTGCTTTCAAATGCCGCCGTTGTCACCCAAGCTTTAACTTTTTTGGGAGACAGCTTCCACTTGTAAAGGGAAGATTATGGATTTCTGCTGCAGGAATTCGGAAGCTGCTGCCGCTGAAATCCCTAATCACATCTAATGTGTGAATTAAGCCTTATTCTATTTAATTTCACCTGTTGATTCTGCCAGTAACACACTTCCAGTCCGAGGGAGACAACTCTCACTCCCCAAACTGTATCTATAGAGGAGCAGCATTGTCACCTCAGATAGGGCCGGATTTCCCACAAGGCCAACCAAGGCCCGGCCTTGGGGCAGCAGGGGTGTGGAATTCCTATCCCCCGATGCCCGGGGAATGCAGTTCCGGGTGCCGGGCGGGTAATTGTTTTCTACATTTAGCCCTTCTTTGGGCAAGCAGAGCTAAATGTACGGCAGGGAAGCCGCTGCTTGTTGTGTACAAGTGATCTTGGTGACGTCGCCGAGATCACTTGTATACAGCCTGCAGGTCTGTCATTCTCCATGGGGGGAGGGGGGGTTGACGGGTAGGGAGGCGCATTGAGGAACCTGGCCTTGGGGCAGCAGAGAGAGTAAATCCGGCCCTGACCCCAGGACAGGAAGTGTGTTGGAACTACAGAACACTCCCCCCTTCTCTTCTCCACTTACTTACCACCTTACACACTTCCTGATAACATTATATATCAGATGAAGGCTGTTTGATGGAAAACAACTGACTCTCTACACTCTTTAAATATCTAAAATGCTTCTGGTAGCTAAAGACCACATGGTATTTGCCACGGTTATAGGTCAGATGGGAGCGCCTTTTTAAAAAAAGATCAAGAATGAGGTACTTTTTACCCACAATAATGTAATTTTCTAATAATAAAATATATGTCCTAATAAATCATGTAAAATATGAATTTTAATGATAGGTACATTTTAATCTTGCTAAAGCAAACATTCTGGTGATCTAAAAAGTGCCCTTTTAGTGGCTCCTTCAGAAATCTGTCAGTCAATCACATAAATTATTATTACATTACGTTAGTACATTGGCAATGTTATTCTGTGCACTGAGATTCTAAATCAAGCCAAGGATTTGTATTTGGGATCACTGTCTGTAAAGACTTAGAGGTTTCTTCTGGTTCTGGTATCTCAGCACTTGCAATCATCATGGGGTCTCCCTGTGCAGAACAAATACACAGCTGAGCAGGAAGGAGTTAGTGCAAAGGCTTAGTAAGTTTGGGTAAACATTTGAGTTGAGGGAGGTTACACATTAAAGGCTCAGTTTGGGGGTTATGTTTTGGGAAGGGGGTTATGTGCTTGTTTTAGGAGATGAATCATTGTTTACATAAAGGAACGTTATGTGTTATGGGGGGTGCTTTAGTTTAGGGGATAGGCTTCTGCTGAAAATCAAATGCATATACTGTACTTTTTACTGGGAATACCCAATTTATGGGACTCGGAATTATAGAGAATGACAATGGCACAATTACTTTTGGGTCCCAGTTAAACAGAGTGGGCACCAGTAGATAAAATAAAAATCTAACAACCCTAGGCCCAACATGAAATAGCTGATTGAGGTGAGAGAGATGAATTAGTTATTTTGCTCTTTCATATCTCCCAATCGATTAGGAAGAAAACATCGTATGGCCATGTAATGGCAACTAGCAGCCACCTTGCTCAACAGTGCATTCCTCCTTGGATGCAGAGGACCGTAACATTATTTTTTTTACTCTGTGGATTACAAATCTTCCATTTGGGGAATGAATGCTCTACTGGATGCAATAAAAGGCCCCCCGATGCTGGCAGGACTCATGTAAAGGCAGGACTCATGTAAAGCCATTTGAAGATTGTATTGCTTCCTGACATTGTCTGTGACAGTAAGTGAATAACATTTATCTATCCCAACTTCACTTACAGGGCTTATACCTGTTTCAATAAAGCCCATTCAACTGGTATTGTCAGTGAGTTCTGGGTCATTGTGCTCTGGGGGGCATCTGCATTGTGCTCTGGGGGGCATCTGCATTGTGCTCTGGGTGGCGTCTGCATTGTGCTCTGGTAAAAAAAACTGCCCTAAAGTCATCGGTCTGTGTTGTTTTAGCAAAAATGTGACATGTCCCTTTAAAAGGAGAACTATGAGGTGAGTGCTTTTCACTCACCTCATAGTTCTAGCCGATCTGTGACAATGAGACTGTCACAGGTCGGCTCAGTAGATCTGGAGGTGAGCGAACACATACCGGC